CAAACCCTGACTCCTGACCCCCATACAGCTACAGTTCCTAGGTGGAGGTGTGGAAGCAGCTACACACGGCTCTCACCTGCAGGCCCTGACCCTCCCCAGTTCCCATTGGCTGGTGTCTGGCCAATGGGAGTGTGCGGCCAGTGCTTAGGGCAGGAGCAGTGTGGGGAGCCCGCCCTGCCACTGACCACTTCCGGGATGCAGCCCGGTGTCAGAAAAGGAAGGGATTGGCCAACGTCTTTCAAAGTGTGGGCTATGACCCGGCCTTCGCTGGCTCCCAGAGTCCCTGGGTGCTGAGCAAAGTGACCCAGCGCCTTTCATTCTGCGCCCCAGGACTGGGTCACGACCGCACTTGGGAAACCACTGCCCTAGAGAATATGGCCAATGAGGGGCAGCCTGCAGGAATCCAGGCCGTAGAATCAAATGTTGATGTTCCATCTGTATCCATTCCGTGACTTTCCCTCCTTCTACAGTGCAGAGCAGATTGTGGTGCTGGGGTTGGGCCAGCAGATGCGCACAATTTGCAGAGCTAGTGAAAGCGGGATTGAACGCCTGTTGGCAGGGGATATATCAGAGATACTTTGAGCCTTTCAGGGGTCCAGCAGCACCGTCCTGCTGGGGTTTCATTCGCCCGCCAGCTGCGGAGAGGCTATTTTCTAAGCAAGAGCGGCGGGCCGTGATGATCTCAGCCCAGAGAGATGTGAGAGACAGCTTTCAGAGGCGCGAACACATGCAGATGGGAGAAGGCAACATGTTGCTTTGGGGGAGCTTTTTGGCTCTATCACCAGAGTTTTGTTCACCAATTAACATTAAGCCAACCTCGGCAAAGACCCGATCCTGGTGCCGATGTTAGGCACTTGCAGCGTCAGGCCCTTCAATAGAAAGTTCTGTGGTTTGCAGATGCAATGTGTCCTCTGCCCATGCCCCACCCAAGACCTGCGCATCACTGAATACCACTGAAGCTTTTTTGCAGCTGGCTCTGGTGGGATGTAAGGGGGGCCCAAGCCATCGGCAAAGGGATGAATTTCACCCTGGAAGAATAAACTAGACCAGTGGGGCAGGGATCCCGGTTCAAGGGGGGAGCTTCATAAAGTAATCAACAACAATTCCTCACCCGGGCAAGCTGACAAGCGGCCCTGCTGTCTCAGGCAAGGGTTGCACCCAAAAAGATGAGCACTAGAATGGCTGCCCAGGAGAGAGTCAGGTGCCTCCCACATGATTTAGCGGAGTGCCCACAGCTGGCAGCGTGAGTTTTTATCGGTGGTGCACATCCACACACGCCTCAGCGCACGGAACAACATTTATTCCACACATGGGTGGAAAAACTTTAGAGGGAACACTGGTTGCACCAAGAGCTGCTGGCCTCATCCTCTTCAGCAAACATCTCCGTACCGGGTGGCAGGACAGCACTGCCCACATGGCAATTCTTTACACGCCGCAATAAGGCAGCAGATGAAATATTAATGGGCTTCAACCAACGCCATCCTTTCTAAGTGCTCTCGGTTACCATCTGCTGCTGCGGCTGCTGGCACAGGCCGGCAGTGGTGACGCTTCCCCGTTCACTTGCAGTAAGCAAATGCTTGGCCCCTCCATCTGCCACCTTGAGCACGTCATTGCTGGACCAGTTCTCAGTCGCTCTGTAGAAGGCCAGGGAGCTAGGCCAGATAACGTGGGGTCCGGGATGTTTGAGAGGCTCAGACATCCCCTCCCCCCACAATTAACTGAGCATGCCTCAGTACAGTGACTCCCAAACGAAAAGTGGCAACTAGGTCGCGGGGCATGGGGCACCGGGTCGGCAGCCAGAGCTCTGGGGGGTGGGATGGAGATACACGTGGGGAGCTCAGGGGGCGGCGTTCCCCAGAAGCCATATGGGAAGCTCCATGGGGGGGGGGGGGGGGGGGTCCCCACACGCCGGTG